TCTCTCGTCTATAAAAGCAGCCACAACTCTTCTCCTCAACCATCAGACGCAATTGAGAATTCCATCACTTACATAACACTTAGTGAGTTGTGATATTAGAGAGATAGAGAGAAGAAGGTGTGCTACGAATAAAAGAGATTCGAAGGAGGCCTGGCTAGGCTCGGCTTGTAGATCGTTCATCGTCTCTATCGAAATCCATGGCGAACGGTATGTCGATAATCTCTATTACGTGATTATATTCTTAAGATGAATTTGATTTCAAGATTCTGTGATTAAGGTTTTCCGCATAAAATTAAATAAAAGTCTTTCAGTGAGTAATTGGTGTTGGGGCCGCTGAAGATGGGGATGGAGAATGAGATGGTGGCTTGACCGACGGCGCGTGGTGGGTGGGAAATTTAGCATCTGGCGAATGGTGAGTAATGGGTGTTGGGGCCACCGGGGATGGAGATGGTGAATGAACCGGTGGTGCGTAGGTGGGAGATTTAGCTGCAGATGAAAGAGTTGGTGAGTGATGAGTGTAGACGCATAAAATTAATTAATTGGTTAATTAAATTAGCCATTAATTGTGTCGAAATTAAATTATATCTTGTCTTGCAAGACAAGTCATGGAGATAAATATCAATTAATTATTGGTCAATAGGATTATTTCTTCTCTTTCAAGTTATAAGAGATAAATATCAATATAAAGAGAGTCAATCAAATCGCGCCACGTCATCAAGAAGACTTTATGTAGGACTCTTATTATACCACTATAAATAGGGACCCTCCCTACAGGGCTGACCTTGGTGCAATGCAAGTGGGGTAGCTACCCGGGGCCCATTCTCCTGGGGGGCCCAATTTTTATTTATTTTTATATATACATGCCTAAACAATTTTGAAGTTCGAAATAGAGGAGGGGCCCAAAATTGATTTCAGCCCAAATTTCAGCCCAAAGCAAGAAAAAAATTAAAAAATAAAAAAAATAAAAAAGAGAAAGAGACGTTGAAGGGTTTACTGGTTAGAGACCCAAATTAATTTCCTTTTCTTTCCTGCTTAGGGCTTCTGCATAGGGCTTCTTCAATTTCTCCATTAATCTTGATTCTTGAGCAATATAAGTGTCCAATTCCAACATACTTTCAACTCCTCCAAGGGCATAACGTGGGTCAAGATTATTGAGAAGAATTTGCTAATATCAGGTTTTATCCTTCTTTGTTAACTGTTGAATTTTCTTTTTTTTTTTTTAGTTTTTTTTTTCTTTGAACTTGGTTGTTGTTTGGGCGTTATTGGCTTGCTTGTTGCAATAAATTTATTGAATCATATATTATAATCATGAAACAACTCTCTGGATGTCAAAAACGAGAAAAAAAGAAAAACGAAGAAGAGGAGGATAAACGTTTAAGAGATTCAATTAAAAAACTTTGGAGTAAGAAGTTCAATGTCACGGTAGAAAATTCAACTCATAATCTAGAGAATGAAAATAATTTGAGTGAAGAATTTTTTGAGAGTGAAAATGATGTGAATGAAGAACTTTTAGAAAATGAAAATAATTATAATGAAGATGTTAATGAGAATGAAAATGATGTGAATGAAGAACCAGGTTATCTTTTGAATATTTATGACCCAAGAACTTGGGATGGTCTAGATACAAAAATGAGAGATTTGCTTGTAGAAAATGGTCCTAAAAGAGATGAAAATTTCAAGTTTCCCATGGATAAAGAATCTAGATGTTTTTCCTATACATATTATGTTCAAATGTTACCAAATGGTGAGACTCGCGATAGAAAATGGTTGGTCTACTCAAAGGAGTTAGATAAAGTTTTTTGTTTTTGTTGTAAGTTGTTTAAAGTTATGAACACCAAAAGTACTTTAGCAACCGATGGAGTGAATGATTGGAAACATTTAGGTGCCAAGTTAAAACAACATGAAAATAGCGTAGAGCACCTTACTAATTTAAGAGCTTGTGTTGAACTACAAATGAGATTGAACAAAAATAGCACAATTGATAAAGAATTACAAGAACAAATTAAAAGCAATACAAAACATTGGAAGCATGTTATGTTGAGAATAATTGCCGTTGTTAAATGTCTTGCTACGCATAATTTGGCATTTCGTGGTACACATGAAAAAATTTACGAAGATGGCAATGGCAATTTTTTGGGCATACTTGAAATGATTGCGGAATTTGATCCTATAATGCAAGAACATTTTCGACTAATTCGAGAAAAAAAAAATCATTATCATTTTCTTAGTCATAAGATTCAAAATGAGTTCATGTGTTGCTTAGCCTCAAAATTCAAAGAAGCAATAATTAAAAAAATTAAAGAGGCAAAGTATTTTTCGGTAATTCTTGATTGATTGTACACCGGATGCAAGTCACAAAGAACAAATGACTCTTATAATAAGATGTGTAGACATTTCAAATTCTCCAATTAAAATTGAAGAATATTTTTTAGAGTTTTTGAATGTTGAAGATACAACTGGTTTGGGACTTTTCAATGAACTGCAAGTTATTTTACAATCTTTAGAACTTGATATTGATAATGTGACGGGGCAAGGCTATGATAATGGCTCTAATATGAAAGGTAAACATCAGGGTGTGCAAAAAAGATTGCTTGATATTAATTCTAGAGCATTTTATATGCCATGTGGTTCTTATTGTCTCAATTTAGTTGTTTGTGATATGGCAAATTCTTGTGTTAGAGCAAAATCATTTTTTGGAGCATGTCAATGCATATACAACGTATTTGCTAATTCTACAAAGAGATGGAATGTTTTGCTTGAGTATCTTGATGAATTAACTTTGAAATCACTGTCTACAACAAGATGGGAAAGTCTTATTGAATCTGTAAAAGCAATAAAAACTCAAGCTTCTAAAATTAGAGAAGCTTTGTTTAAGTTGGTAGAAATCAGTGAGGATGCGAAATTAAGTAGAGATGCAGAAACTTTAGCATCCGGTGAACTTTCAAGTTTTGAATTTATTTTAAGTTTGGTGATTTGGCATGATATTTTGCATAAAATTAACTTAGTCAGCAAAAAATTACAATCCGAGAACATGCGTCTTGACATTGCTATAAAACAGTTGGCCGGACTTCTTTCATTTTTTGATTTATATAGAGAAAACGGGTTTGCTTCTGCCATAATTGAGGCAAAAGACATAGCTTACGAACTAGAAGTTGAACCTTTTTTTTTCATGAGAAACGTAAAATTTGTAGAAAAAGAAACTTCGATGAAATTTCTAATAATGAAAGAGAAAATCAATCTGCCGAAAAATCTTTTAGAATTAATTATTTTCTTTTTATTGTAGATATTGCTATAGGTCAATTGAAGAGCAGGTTTGAACAATTGCAGTACTTTGAATCTATATTTGATTTCTTATTTGATGTTACGAAATTGATTTCATTGGATGATGGTGATTTGATGAATGCTTGTGTGAAACTTGAAAATGCTTTGAAACATGGTGATGCTTCTGATATTGATGCAAAATGTTTATGTTCAGAATTAGAAGTGTTACGAGTGATGTTACGAAATGAATCATATGATACAAGTAAGCCATGGGCCGCTATTCAAATATTAGAGTTCGTAAAAAAGATGGATATGTTTCTGCATGTCATGATTGCTTATAGAATATTGTTAACGATACCCGTAACTGTAGCATCTGCCGAGAGAAGCTTTTCAAAATTGAAACTATTAAAATTCTACTTGCGTACCACAATGACCCAAAGTAGAATGAATGCGTTAGCAATTTTATCTATTGAAAAAGATATGTTGGAAAATATTCAATATGATGATATAATTGATGATTTTGCCTCTAAATGTGCAACTCGAAGACATCTTCTATGATCTAACTACTGGTTTATTCTTGTAGGTAATTGGCTACTTGAAGGACAAAATGGTGGCTCTTCGGCTATAAAATTTTAGTTTATAGAAGATAAATAGTTGGTAGATGAACCTTTTCTTTTTCTGTTTTTTGTAATGATAAACGATCGGGTACTCTTTTTCGTTAATTTATTTTATTAGGAGCACATTTTGTCGTGTTCGCCCAGGGCATTCAAAACTGCAAGATATTCAAGTCAAAACTCGTAAAAGTTCAGCGTTCTATCAGAGATTCAAGTCGCAAGACCCTCTAAAAACGTTATTCAAATTAAAAATCAATTCCGGAGAAGATCAAGTCAACGACCCGACTCCGAAATTCAAAGTCAATATATATTGTTCTTGAGAGAAGAATCAGAGGATTAAATTACAATTTGTAATCAGCAATATTTTCTTTTAACTCAATAAATTATCTTTGTGCAAGTTTTTCTTGTTTGTTAAATTCGCAGATAAGAATTTGTTGCTACAAATTTTGGCACGCCCGGTGGGTAATCTCTACCTTTCATCTCTTCTCTCTCTCGAAGATCCTGGAAGCGTTGCAGTGATTGTTCTACGTTCGCAATGAAGATTGTTACTTCAGATTCATCAAGTGTGGGCGTAGCTACAAAGAGTATGACCAAGAAGCTACAAGCATCCTGCGAGACTAGCTCGACGCCCCAAATCATTGAGAAACGCTTACCACCTCTTTTCAACACAAGTGCAGATGTGGAAGGTTTAGAACGAGAGATTTCACAGCCCACGCTTCTTTCAACATCAAGCTACTCAGACGTGGCATCCGTCATGAAAACGAACGCTACAACCATGGAAGAGCAAATTGCATGTTTAACAAAGGCCATTGAGGGACTCACAAAGCATGTTCAACAACGAGATTCTCAAATTGTCAAGTTGATCACCAAGATGGACAAAACCGATGTTAGACAAGTTGTGGATAATCAGATAGAGGCTCAAGACGAAGTCGAGACATCCACAAAGCAACAACCAGTAGAAAACGAGAAGGCTCCATCTAAAAAACTTCAAGTTTCTCCAGAAGGGTTGATTCATGTAGATCAAGTGATGACGATGATCAGTGGAACTATCATAGAATGGAAGGAAGCTCGAAGTCACCATCAACCTATGTCAAGCCATAGACACAAATGATTGATCATCTAAAGATGCCGATGGGCTATATACATCCGAAGTTTCAACAATTTGACGGCAAAGGCAACCCCAAGCAACATACGGCACACTTCGTTGAGACTTGCAATGATGCGGGGAACTATGGGGATCACCTCGTCAAGCATTTCGTCCGATCGCTCAAAAACAACGCGTTTGATTGGTACATTGATTTGGGGGCAAACTCTATCGATAGTTGGAGGCACTTAGATGAAGAATTTCTCAACCGCTTTTACAGCACGCGGAGAACAGTCAGCATGATTGAGCTCACCAATTCCCGCCAATGGAAGAAGGAACCTGTCATCGACTACATCATTCGGTGGAGAAATTTAAGCCATAATTGCAAGGATCGACTGCCTGAGACATCATCTATTGAACTGTGCATCTAAGGAATGCAATGGGGAATTCGATACATCCTTCAAGGAATTCAACCTAAAACGTTTGAGGACTTGGCTACTCGAGCACATGATATGGAATTGAGCATAACTGCAAATGGAGTCGAAGAACATTCATTCCAAAAGTCGTACCAGCTCAAAGAAGAACATATTGAAGAAGAACAAGAAGATCATGAGGATGGGGGGCAAGTATTTGGAAGAAGCAACACCCTACGCAAATTCAGGTTCAAATCAACACTCCTTGACACGAGTTTAACAGTCTACAAGTCCAAATCAAATGAAACACTCCTTGACACGAGTTTAAAAGGTCTACAAGTCCAAATCAAATAAAGCACTCCTTGACACGAGTTTAAAAGGTTCACATGTCCAAATCAAATTAATTACTCATTGACACGAGTTTAAAAGGTCTGCATGTCCAAGTCAAATCAAGGCTCCTTGATACGAGCATAAACTATCTACATATCCAAACCAAACCAAGGCTCCTTGATACGGACATAAACCATCTATATATCCAAATCAAATCAAGGTTCCTTGATACGAGCATAAACTATCTACTTATCCAAGTCAAGTCAAGGGTCCTCGATACGAGCATAAACTATCTATATATCAATATCAAGTCAATGCTCCTCGATACGAGCATAAACATTCTATATGTCCAAATCCAAATTAAGGCTCCTTCATACAAGCATAAACTATTTACATATTCAAATGAAGTCAAGGCTCCTTGATACAAGCATAAATTATCTACATATCCAAATCAAGTCAAAACTCCTTGATAAGAGCATAAACTATCTACAAATTTAAGTCAAATGCTCCTTCAGCGCGAGCTTAAACTACATATTTTTCTCCTAGTCCACACGAGTACAAACTGTGCACGACATTTCTCAAAAGGATATATTTTGAACTACGTTATGACTTTATCCCTTTATAATGTACATAGGCAACTTAGAACCTCTCTAAATTCAGTCACTCTTTCGAAAGATGTATGTACTTTGCTAGATCAAGTTGCAATTGAAGTTAAGCGATTAACGAGACTCATTCACTCCAAGACGCATTGTCCGTGAACAAGTCTCGAGGGGGCATTTTTAGACGCAAAGACTTAATTAATTGTTTATTTAAGTTGGCCAATTAAATTGTGTCTAAATTAAATTACATCTTGTCTTGCAAGACAAGTGATGGAGATATATATCAATTAATTATTGGACAATAGGATTATTAGATATTTATCTCCATGACTTGTCTTGCAAGACAAGATATAATTTAATTTAGACACAATTTAATTGGCTAATTTAATTAACCAATTAATTAATTTTATGCGTCTACAATGAGTAATCGGAGTTGGGGTTGGAGGTTTGTTCATAGATGGAGAAGGTGATGGAGAAGGGGAGGAGCACGGGGGTTTCAAGGGTGTCTTCGGTGGCGGTGATGGAGCATTGTTGGTGGTGTTACGGTGGCGATCGAAAAGAACGACGAAGATGAACTTTTGCCCTTCTCATAGTTTTGGTTATGGCCACTAATTAAGAAAAAAAAAGACTTGATTTTTCAAACTTGAATTTGTAGACACCATCTTTCAATATATTGGATTTTCTTTGCTGCATTTTTAATAGGCATTTTTATTTACAAAAAGTATTGAATCAAGCCCTTTCTTGTACTTGAATACTGCATATTATTTACAACCATATTGCAAATATTAAATAAATAAATATATATTAGGGTTAATAGCATTTTCCCACCTAGACTTTGCCCGTTTTTGCACTTTCCCACCTCAACTAAAAAAAGTTGCACGGCGGCACCCAAACATTCATTTTTGACGCACATAACCACCTGGAGGGAATATTCTGGCGAATCTTTCCACTCTCCGGCGCACGCACGCTGCACATGCCAAATTACATGGGTTTTTTCGTCTTTTCCTTTAGCTTCCTCCTAAATGCCCAGCAGTCGTTGACTTCCCCCATTTCAATTCAATTTCACACCTTCACAAAAATCCCCTTTTCTATGTCAATCTAGGGGTAACATTATCGACGATAAATTGCAATAATCTGAAGATCTTCGTAACTCTATCATGACTTGGAAGTTAAGAGAGGGCAATGACTTGGACGATTTTCGAAAAAATGCTCCAGAATATGGTATGCGTTCTTAAAATTCATATTATTTGTTTTTTTTTATGTAAATAGTTGTTTTATGTATTCAATGTGGTTGCACATGGGTGTTCTTGGATTTGTTTATAATATACTATAGTGATTTCTTTGTTTATTTATAGTATATTTCTGTATTGTGTGGACCACATTGATTTTCTTGTCTCCCATATGTTTATGCTAGCTTAAAATACATAATTGGACCACATTTTAGTCTCCCACTTCGATTTTAGCACGTTCTAATTTTTTGTCCTTATTACCACATCATACAGTTTTTTATTAGATTCACATGTTCTGAAAATTTGTTTTATATATTTTTTGGCAGGCCGCAATAGTGATTATATCACAATAGTAATGCACCATTCTGGAAAAATTATGGATTTAGGTAAGATCTGTTATGTGGGTGGGAAAGTTAGTTATTTTGACTACTGTTGTTATGATGAAATGTCAATGACTGAAATAACTGAAATGGCAAGGGAATTAAAATTGGATGATTGGGAAGATTTCTATCACAGTAGAAGTGCAATACAAGATTGTAGTGTTCTTTATTTAATGGAGAATGATAATGATGCTTTGGAATTAGTGAACTATCTTGACAAAGACAGAGCCACTACAATTTATGTGAAGCACGTACAAGTAATAGAAGATGAAACTGAAAAAAGTCAACCTGATTCATTTGATTTAGATAATCTTCCATATGTAGATGAAGCAGTAGGGTATGTGGGTGATGTTGATGAAGTTGATGAGTTTAATGATGTGTCTGAGTGTGATGTGCCTGAATTTGAGGTTCTTGGTAGTAATATGTATGTGAATCATATGACTGACATTTTTGGTGATAATGATGGTTTGTTTGATGATAATGAAAGTGGTGGAAGTGATGTTCAGTCAGTTGGAGATGATTCAGAGCACTCTGACTTTTTGGTTGATAGTGATTTTTTTGCATCTGATGATGATTTTCAATATGATAACAATGTTGATCATGGGGTAGAGTGGGGTGGACTTAGGTCAGATGAAGAGGCTGAAGAACCTAGAAGGTCTAGGAGATTAAACAAGGGGAAAGAGAAAGTGGCAGAAGATGAGATTGATGAAACTGCCAAGAAAGATCAATGGAAACACCACAACTTTCCAGTTTTTAATCCAAAGGTAGACATGGTTGATCCTAACTTTCAGCTTGGTGTTTGCTTCAATGATGCACAGAGTTTTAGAGATGCCATAAGACATCACTCCATAGTTAATGGTAGGGACATAAAGCTGAGGCTTAATGAGAAGTATAAGATTCAAGCCATATGCAAGCATCCAAGTTGTCCATGGCTAGTCTATGCTTCTCAAATGAGAGGTGAATCCACCTTTCAAATCAAGACAATCAATGCAGTCCATGAATGTAACAGAAAGGAGAAAGTGACTTGTGCAAATTCCAGGTGGTTGGCCACTAAATATGCAGACAAAATAGTTACTGATCCAAGATGGCCATTGGACTCTATGATGACTGTGGTTCAAAATGACTGCAAATTGTTATTTAGCAGACACCAATTGTACAGAGCAAAGCAAAAGGCAATAGAGAAGAGTACATGGTCTAATATTGAGAAGTATGGGCTCATATGGAGGTATGCTCAGGAAATTAAAAAGTCTAGTCCTAGGACCACTGTTAGAATCAAAGGAAGTGGTGAAACAGATCAACTGAAGTTCAAAAGAATTTACATTTGCTGGGATGCATTGAGACAGGGGTTTCTTGATGGGTGTAGGCCAATCATCTTCTTAGATGGTTGTCACTTGAAGTCCATATATGGTGGGATTCTTCTATGTGCAGTGGGGATAGATGGAAATAATGGCATGTATCCCTTTGCATATGCTGTTGTAGAAAAGGAAAAGAGAGAAAGTTGGCTGTGGTTTATGAATTTGCTGAAAGAAGACTTGAAGATTGAGGAGAGTCAGCATTGGACCATCATGAGTGACAAGCAGAAGGGGTTATTAGATGCAGTGGAGGAAGTTCTGCCTAACAGTGAGCACAGATTTTGTGTCATGCACTTGAACTGTAACTTCAAGGTATCACATAAAGGATTGGCACTGAAGAACATTATGTGGCAAGCTGCTAGAGCTTCAAGAGTGGTGGATTTTGAAAGAGTGATGAGAGATTTGGCCTCCAAAGATAAAGATGCTTTCAAATGGCTTGCAAAGAGGCCTGCTGCACATTGGAGTAGAGCTTATTTCAATACAAATTCAAAATGTGATTCACTTTTGAACAATATGTGTGAAAGCTTTAATGCAATGATTCTAAGGCCTAGAAGTCTACCAATAATTGATATGTTGGAGGCAATCAGAAAGACCTTGATCAAGAGGCTGCATGTGAAGAGGGATAAGATGGCAAGCCACAAGGGTGACATATGTCCTAACATTCAGAGACAGATAGAGGAGCTGAAGAAAAAATCAATGGAGTTCATAGCTAATTGGAATGGTAAGGATCAGTTTGAAGTTGAGAATTGCTATGGTGATAGATTTAAGGTGCATTTGGGAGATAAGACTCGCAGTTGTAGAAAGTGGCAACTCTCTGGAATTCCTTGTGCACATTCCATTTCAGGCATGTACTATCTGGGAAGAATGCCTGAAGATTATGTTGAAGACTTGTATAAGAAGAACACCTATATGAGAGTGTACAGCCACTTACTTGACACACTTGAAGGATTTGAATCTTGGCCTGAATCTGGAAAGCCACCCTTGCTTCCTCCAGACATTGTGAAGATGCCAGGCAGGCCTAAACTGCACAAAAGAAGAAGGCAACCAGGGGAGATCAATGGTCCAAAGGACATCCCACCACCAGTTGCCAAAACAGTAACAATGATTGGGAGTTTGGGTAGACAAGGT